ATGATATATTAAATGCAACCTTTCATAGAAAGAATAATAATCGATTATAAAACTTCCTGATTCCATGTACTTTCAGCAGTACTGTGTGCTAAATTCTCCTTGTGTTCTTTTATATTAAATAAAGCAAGACCCATTAAGTAGAAATGTCTTAAGAATCCAATGTATGAAACATTCCAGTACTCTAAGAATATCAATTTTAAAAACTTTAAAAAATGTATTTTACCACCAGTAACAAATTCTGATGTTTGCATCCAATAAAAACATTCATTTTTTATGTTGTCAGACAATCCAAAACAAAGCAAGCACAAGATATCATATGTTATATATCTTGTATGTTTACAATTAAGAACAAAGCATCCATCACATCATACATTTCTTTAAAATGTCCACGATAGTCTGCCAAAAAGCTGCCAGGCAGAAAAGAACTGTTTCAATCAATTCCATAATGACATTAGCTGGGAAATTAATATTGAGAAATGATGACTAATGCACATATAACCAGGTTCCTGTAAGTGTATGGCAGTATGTGCTGAAAGAAACTGTCATTAGCCACCGTATTTTTTGACTAATTGACTGCTAAGCATTGGCCAGAATCTGTTCTTGGTTCTCTTGTGGAATTACTTCAATAATTCAATGTAATTAGGTTTTGAATTTGGTTCTTTATTCTTCTTAAAGAACTATGTCATAAAGTGACACAAAGTAGGCATTTTATTATTAAATAATCATCAAAAATCCAATTAGACTGATGGTTTCTTCTTTCAATCTGCACAGCCACATAACAGAAATGGCAAAAGAAATAGTGTCTTTAAACATAGGCATTCCTATAGACTTCCATTCAGTCTCAGCATTTTCCCTTTGTGAAACTGAATGAAGATTAACGGCTACTCATTTAGCAGATATATCAATCAAACCTCAAGTATACAGGAAGTACCATATTTTAAACTATCCAAAATATTTTAAGTAAAAATGGTTGCACCAGCAGATCAGTTTCTTTGCTTTGAAGTTTCCTCTATATATTTAAATAGATATGTATTGTAAAAAAGATAAAACCACAAGTTGGAAATTATTCAACGAAATACAGATGTTATCAGAAATCTATGGACAAGAATTTAAAATACATGAAGATGTATGTTTTCTGCAAAAATTCAGTAAAAAAAACAACAAATATTTCAGAAATCAGTGTTTTCGAGTCTAGAGAAAAATAAAGTGATAACTTCCTACAGGACCATCTTATAGCTTTCTAGATGATCACGCTAGCTGAAAAAAAACAGAAATAAAGGAAATTTACACTGCTCTTCCTTGGATTGAAGTGTTGGAACCACTCCATGCAATGCAGTTAATCTAATCTGTTTGAAGTTTTTATATTTTTATATCTAATCTAAGCAAAACAGGTTCATTCCCCTTCTGCATGTTTTAATAAACTACTAACACTTACAAAAAGGGCACTGCTCACATCACCATACACTGCTGTTAATGGGGCTTTAAACTTGCTCTCAAGCCTAACAGATACATGTCATCCATATATGACCAGATACCGTAAAAGAAATTGTGGCCCTCAGCTACATAAACAGACATCTGTATATCTTTTGCCTAGATAACTTTAAAAACAATACTGCTATTTCAAAGAGTTGCAGGCATTTGCACATACACAAAGAGCCTTACTGTTGCCATGGCTCCCTCTCCAAAGCCAGTCATCACTCATGGCTGAGAGCCAGAACAGTAGAGTTCTTCCCCTTCTCTGTGGAGCCAACTGTAACCCAACAATTAGTGAGCTTGAACAAGGTCCAGAGGAAATTTCCCCTTCGAAGTAAGATCCATTTTATCAATAGACATATGCAGTGGTACAAAGGCCATTATGCTATAAAAACTGTAAATGGATATACTTAAACCTTCCTACAAAAATGAGCAAGTAATCTCAGGCTAGTATCTGAAGATCAGAAACACACTAACGCCACAGCCATTGCTGGTACCTGTGCTAGACTTCAGCCCAAAGGCAAAAACCTGAAAATATAGAGAGCAAGCCATCATTTTGTAAACATTTTCACCAGCAGTTAATTTTGCAGATTTGAAGGAAAATTTGTCAGAATTTTGCTTCATTTATATACTATCAGCACTAATGTGTCCGCCACAGTGGAGAATTGGCCAGCTCTCTCACTGTAGATTAAGTCTTTAAAACACACAGAAATATTTTTGAAACAACTTTTTTTCACAGATTGCCATAGCTACAGAGAAACAGAGCAAATCAATCTACTGTATTTTTCAGTACTTCAGATGGGGCCTCTGAAGGGCAGAGTAGAGAGGGACAGTCACCTCCCTGTGCCCCCTGACCACCCCTCTTCTGATGGAGCCCAGGATACCGTTTGCTTTCCGAGCTGCAAGAGCACACTGTTAAGTTTTTCATCCACCAAGACCCTCAGGTCCTTCTCTACAAGGATTGCTCCTCCCAGTCTGTACATATGCCTGGTATTCCTCTGGCTCAAGTGCAAAACCTTGCACTTTGCTGTGTTGAACCTCTTTAGGTTTGCCCAGGCCCACCTTTTGAGTCTGTTGAGATCCCTCTGAATGGCATCCCTTCTTTTCATTCTGTGAACCACACCACTCAACCAATTAGTCCTTCTCAAGAAGTGCTCAAAAAAAAAAAAAAAAAAAAAGAGAATATTCCAAATTTTGTATGATGATTTAAACCATGATGTTTATACAGTGCAAGAGTAGCATTCTTCAAACTTTAGTTTACTGCAAACTACCTTGCAGCAAAACTGCCCTCATTGCAAGATGCTTCTCACCCAGTTTTTACAGAGTGCAATCTGAATGCCTGCAACTAGTGTTTGGTGAAGAGAGATATGCATGGCAGAGTTGGACTAGATGGGAGCTACCTGGGAAGAGGTAGTGGTGTGCATTTAGAGGAATATTTAGGAGTTGCCTACAGAATTTTCAATGGATGAGAACTGTCAGAGGCATATTAAAGAGACACTAGATCAGAGTTCGCTTGGAGGGACAGACTGATGAGGTTGGTTGATCCTTACTTTTTTTGCTTTTTCTGTACCATGCTATTCTTTCTCAGGAGTCCTAAGCAAAATCCGCCTGATATTACCGATGAAGATGACAGGACATCTTTTATTATGATAAGTAAGGGATTACGATGAAAAGATGGGAAAATCCACTGCATTATCCTCCACTGCTTTTGCATTCTGTCACAAGATATTGAACACATATCTTCGTGATTGGATCTTTGCAAATGCAATATGATTTACCCTATTACTGAAGCTGTGCCCCCAACTATTTAATCTCAAAGACTAACAGGCACATAGCCAAAGCTAGAATTCTCACTCCTAGAACAGATTGCTGATATACACAATGCCTATATAATTTCAGTAATATATACTGCCACACAATTCAGAAGGACTCAAACAGAAAGAAAAAGATTAATACTGGGAATAAAAAAAATGCAGTCACAAATCTTTTGAGACAAATTTGGCCAAATTTTGTCTATGCATTGCAGAGAACAAATCCTGTAAGAATGAATCAGAATGCAGTACTATATCCATAAAATACAGATAAAAGTAGCTTCATTGCATGCTCTGTATTATGTTTATAGTTAATTGTAGTTAATAAATATACATAATCTTTATCACAATTTATTAAAAAAGTTACCCTGATCAAACATTAAATATGAATAAATACCACTACTCAAAACTAATGGGAAGTCACATTATCCAGAAATCTGAAACAAAAAACTTGTGACCCAAGTCGTTAAGCATGAAAGCCCAAGATCTAAATCTCCCTATAATAACCTCTTACTACTTCTGACTGATCCAATTGTCGAATATCTTGTGCAGTTATTAAAAACCAGGGGTGTCTCCTTATTTAATCCTCCACAGGGAGTTCAAATTCTCTTACTGTAACTACTCTAAGTCAGTACAATTAATGTAATTCATATGCTATGTTTGAGCAGACTATAATACTAATAATGAATCAGGAATGTTCTCCCAACAATAGTTCTTGAGTCTCCTACAGTTTGAAGTATTTCATTAACAGTTTTCAAAGTTCACTTTTACAATTATGTCATGCAAAAACTATTTTCCCACACAGAAGGATGACTGAATAACAGTGGTATTCTTTTTGACCTCTTCAAGAGGCAAGTCATCCTGGACTGTCATATCAACTTCTTAGCACACATCAAACTATGCTTTCCAGAAACTACATTATTGTTTTTTCTTTCTAATGTGCTTACTGAAATATGTATTACTTTATTCACACTTCATTTAGCACTGTCCTCAGTAAATCAGTAAATTGTTAGTGGGATTACATCAGGGAACTCAGTCAAGTCAGTGCAGGCATACATTTGACCTACTGAAAAGCAGTAGCTGTTCCTGATATACTTCTTTCAAAGTCTCTTCAGGAACCTCTGAAAACCTACATTGTATAGGTTGATTGCTGTGAAGAAGCTTAATTCTAAAGAAACTACTGGGCTCATCTTAGCTAACAAATTGTAACATGATAGAAAGTACAGCAATGACAGCAGAGCAGCAAGGTCTTGGACTGCAGGAAGTAAGGATTTGCACAAACGCTGCAGGCACAGAAACAAAAATAAAGGAAAGAAGCTACTTACCTTTGGAAAGCCTCAAGTACACAGAGATCTCCAGCAAGATACCCTTGTCTCCACTGCCAGCTGTTAAATAAGGCCTGGGAAGGGATAGATCCTGGTTCTGCTCCTTTCAGAGGATCCACCCCTTCCAGTCACTCAGGTGCATTGCATGCACCTGAGCTCCCCTGGGGTGGCCTTGCCTTCCTACCAGGTCCTTAATCACTGGTTCAAGCTGTGACTTAGCATTTCCACTAATCCAATATGAAAGGACTTCTCTCTTATCAAGAACTGAGAAATCTGAGAGAAACAAAAAATGCTTCTCTTTCAGATTGCACGTTACTGAATATGCATGCATACTGAATATGCATGCATATTCAGTCTGGGCTGGTATAGAACATTAGAAAAAGCATCTTACCATCACTGTTGACACAGATGACGATAGGCACCTGAGTACCAGGGCCACATGGTTTCTCATTGTCAGGAACACACTCCTCCAGCCCTACAATCCTCCAGTCATAGCATGAGGGCTCCTCACATGGGATGGCTTCCATCAGGTGAGGGCAGTTTCCCGTTCCTCCCGTAGGCTCGTTAGTGATGCGCCGTTTCCTTAGTTTAAATCCTGAAATATCCATGAGAATATAAATGGTGAAATAATTCAGTTATAAAAAGCAAAGTGGAGAGATTTTTCTCTCTCTCTCGAGAGAGAACTGTTATGTTTATCTGTGCAAAAACAAACAAACAAGAAAACCACCTAGATGCTCAATGCAACACAACCTTTTAGATGATTTGGTAGAAGAACTCATTACAGAAAGAAGTAAAGCTTAACAAGTTCTTTAAAAGTTTTGAACTGATTCAGTAAGCTTTGCCTTCAACTCTTGTTTGTCCTGGTTGTATACATTTTCGAGAAGACAGCATTTGTTTTCTGTGATTCACTCTTGCTGGATCCATCTCATTTAACAAATCTTCACTAGGTTCTGGCTTGCCATTTCTCAAAGATGATGCTTGTTATCTTCTTAAGAATTTTCAAATAGAAATAGAATATCAAATGAAATCAGCTTACAAACAAACAAAAGTCTAACTTGCCAGTATAAACTGTAGAAAGAAAAGGAGAAAAGGATGAGGTCCTATAAATTCCTATTTTGTTGGTAATTAACATAAAAATATTCCCTTCCATTCATTTACAGAATTTTCTTCAGACTGTATGAACTCATTTTGAATAGGAAAAATTGATAAGCCATTATGCAGTGTGACATGTGTCAGTCTGATATCAGTCTTTCAGGACAGCATGTTGAGAAAGCCATCGTTTAGCCAGAATATGCTAATCAGACTGAACAGATTCAGCAAATAATTTCTCATGTAATAATTTTCTACAGTTTCTGATATGTATGCGATCAGATTAATTTAACATTGGCAGCTTTCCACACCTTTTCATAGGTTCCTCTTTTGTCTCAATATTCAGGCAGGTTAACAATACTCAAATATTGTTATAAAGTGCTATGTATAACTCCTTTATTTCTACTAAGAGACAGTAAACAGGAGAGAGTTTTAACACATTAAGTGGAAGAGTTGATTTCTCTGTTTGGAGATGTGCCTGTTAACAGATTATAACAAATAATATTTTAATAATACATTGGTATGCATCTTTGTTTTCTCTAACCTGAACAATTTGATAAAATTAAATCTACTGAGCTTGCCACCAAAAAAGTGATATTCCCAAAGAAGCACTCCAGTGTCTGCTACAACAAAGAAGGCAAGTGACATACAGTAAAGAACCATTACTGAAATATGTAGAGAACTTAGCTTCTAAGACTGAGAGGGCCTGTACAACTTCTATATCATTTTTGAAGAACTGGAATCACACAGAAAGTTGACATATATAACATGAAAGTATAACATAAAAAGCTGACTTTATGTTATTATATGCTTGAAAATTTTACAGCATGCTGATGATAACTGTATCATTGCTATAAAACAGCCGTATCAAACAAGGAATGAATACAATAAATTACAGTAAAACAGATAAATTAGGATATTGAAAAATGCCTAGTACAGAATGTCATTTCATAGCAGAAAGATCTTGTTGAGCTTTTTCATATTTATTGATCATCTTAAGCAAAGATAAGGTAAAATGACCCTGTGTCGTGGTTTTGTGTAAAGTACATCCTAATATATTTCCGTTAGGCAGGGTTTAAAATTAACATGTTACTTGTCTACTGTACTCAGAAGAGACTCAATCCAATGGGTTTACACACTGAACTGCTTTTTCCTTTTCAGTTTATCAAGATTGGATCACATTACATATTGTGTGACAGCATCATAAACTTGTGTTTGCTATACAGATTGATATGTAACTAGCAGCATACCAAGAAATAGAATCCAAGCTAGCATAGTAATTGCACTTACTCCTTCAGGTGGACATACAGAATGGCCCTATCTTATGATCATTTTCAGTCAAGGAGCTAAATCTGGATTCTCAGCTTGTATCAGATAATCGTACTGCAACGAGTTGGCCAGTTTTTCTAATTTATGACCAAAAAACCCCAAAGACTTTTTAAATGTGTTCCTTGTCACTGCATTCTTGCCTTCGTATTTTAATGTTACTCTACTGCAATATGTTCTGCACAGGAATGAACTGTAAAATATATGTGAAAGCAAAAACCAGCACAGATGTACTGTTATCAGAAAAAAAAAGCAAAAAAAGTGTTTCTTAACAACAGTGAATGATCCCATCTCTTTATCAGTGCATGCTTCATAGTCTATCAGTGAATTCTTAAATTGTTACTGAACTGTAAAATCTTTTACTGACTTTAACACTATCTACCTCAGAGTCTGCTTCTACCCTCCTTCTGAGACAGTGCCAGAACTGTGTTGCACACATATTCAAATTATACACTTTTTGTTTGAGAATAAAGTTCAAAACTGGAATTGAACTGTAACAACCTTGAGAGCCTAGTTATTATTTTTGCAAGCTTTCCTGGAGAAATAGTGCAAAATACATGCAATTTGATGACTTTTTTTGATGCTGAGAGGCACTGGATGTACTATACACATTAGGGTGACTGCGCAGACAGAAATGTTCTAGGAATATGAAATATTTGCCATTAAAGGTTCCACTGGATATTTACATACCCTTCTTGGCCTGAGGATCATCACAGTTTTCGTAGGTGCATGGTCCCCAGGCTGACCATGCTGAGGTCTCACACTCTGTAGGACAGGGGATATGGCACAGCTGAGAGGTGCTGGGAAGAGGTCCTGTACACAGTCTACGGTCCACTGGCCTCGAGGCTGTCAAAAAAAAAAAAAAAAAAAAAAAAATCAACATATTTCTCATATGTTGCCAGTCATGATGCTCAGCTCTAAAATGGCAAAACCATCCTTCATTCAGAAAGGCTGCTATCTCACCATTCTCATCTGAGGAAGTGATATGAAGTAAAATGCCTGTATTGAAAAAAAAGGAGACAGAATTCAGTCAACAACACGCAGAGGCATGACCAGAGTCAAATCCAATTAAGTGGGATCAGGAAGACCGTAGATACTGCAGCACCCTCTTGGACTTAGACCTTTCATTAAATGGATTATGTTGTAACAATGGCTGTTCACATTGCTGTCTGCATAAACTGATGTCCTGCTGTCTCACTGAGTTACGTTTTCACTGCGCTAACTGAACAAAAAGCTGTATAAGTCCCTTTTCTCTTATACGATACTATAATTTCAAAAGTGTGGTTCATGAATAATTGGAAGGTTATTTATAAGCTAAAACCTGAAACATAATCAAAATAGTGACAGAATTTTGTTTTTCTTTTACTCCATTGACCTCCAAGTGCACACTCAACAATAAGATTTGTGCAATAGCATTTCCAGTTCATAAGTTTTCATATAATATATAGAGATATAATTATCAAAACTTTGCCCAAGATAACTGAATTTTCATTACAGTATTATTAATTCATAAAGATGTCTGTGAAGGCAGTTTATTCTGTTTTTTAATGATCTGTAATGCTTTGTGATAGATCCAGCCATCCGGTTTCTTCCAAACTTTACAGGCCTCACTCTTTTCAATTCCTGTTTTATACAAACGTTCAGACATATCTGTTAGGTGCCAGATGAAATCACTGAATTCACAGTTTACCGCTTCATTATGAGCAAGATTTTAAACCTTTTCCAAATAAAAAACTTGGCAAAATATTAGATTAAGCAGAGAATATTTGCTAGAATGCAAAGTGAAGTTTGTCATGCTCATCCTCTTTGTCCAGCTAAAGAAACTTGCAGTTCTTAAACTTAAACTCTCATCCTACTCCCTCTGGACTTCTCCACACGTAAGTTGTCTCATTAATTTTCTATCACCCCTACAAATATTCTCCCTTGGTGGAAAGACTTATGTGACAAAATATATTCTAAAATAACTTTCTACTTGAATGAAAAAAGGATGACAAAATATCATTTAGAAAAAAAGATATCAATAACAATAAATTAAATTTTAAATTAAACATCAAGTTGTTTAAGTATTTATAGATGTGCCCCCCTTTCCATTCAGACTTTCAAAGCAGATGATCTTTCATTTTAAAGAAAAAGCACTAAATTCATACTTTTTAAGGGGAAAAGAGAATGAAAAATATTAGCCTCTCTAATCTCGTTCCCTGTTTTGCCTCCTTTAGCACAGTTTTACTTTTTCTCTGAGTAATGAAGGCATGAAGATGGCAAGTGGTCATTAAAGATTACCGCCTCCAGCTTACCAATCTCTTAACACAAAATAACAGCAAAATATTATTCCAGCACTCTGTTGGAACTAAATATTATGATAGAAAATTGAATTTTACAATAAATTTGACATGCACACTTAAAATGTATAATAATCAATACAACATGCATATCTACTGTAGAACATGGAATTAAATAAACTTAATTTGGCAGCAATTTGAATTATATTGAATAGATTCTAATAAAAAAAGAAAAGAGCAAAACAGTAAATGTTAACCATACTTTTAAACTTGATTTAATCAGGAAATTGTCCAAGTGAGACAGCTGAAATTAAGAGTCAATTACACCCATGAGACAGTCTTGCCTCAGAGAACAAGGAAAGCATTCATAATAATGCCTTGCTTCATCTCCAGCCTGCATCAGGATAAAGCACTCATCGTCACACTAGTTAATTGTATGGCACTCAGAAAAGTAACAAACATCTTTAAGCTTTGGAAGCTTAAAAAAGCATATTTTCATATCACAGGCGTTCCATATCTCAGCCAGATTTTCTAAGAGTCTGCAAAGAGAAGGTGCTACCATGCTACTGTAATAATTCATTGTCAAAGCCATGGTGGATTCAAGCCAACATGAGATGGACATGAAAATCCAAAATTGAAGGAACTTTGACAGTGCTTGGCTTTAGAGAGATCGACTTAAGCAACAGGAATATCATTTCAACTTTTTGAAGATTTTTGTCCAGTAAAAATTCTATCAGCAAAGAGCGTTAAGTAAACTACTCATAAAAACACATACTGAAAATATCTGCCTTTTCCATCATTCATTACTGTGTAGTGTAAATAACAAATCCTTTGGAGACTTGTAAGTGGTATCAATAAATCACTCAAAATGCTAAAATACTTTACAAATGCTGGTTTCAAGAACATCATTGATGTTTGAAAGTCTAACTCGAGGTCTGTTATGTGTTTCTTTTAAAACAAATGAATTCAACACTAGGATAATTTCCAAGTTATTAAAAAGGCTTTCATCTGCAGAAGTTGACACAATTTCATATTCCTTCCTGGTTACTTGCTTTCACAGCAATCAATGGAAGGAAGCTTCTCCAGCAAAAGTGCTCTCACTCCAAGAAACACAAGAAAAATCCAAGCTTAGGACACATCATGAACAGCAACAAGGTAGTACATGTTCCTCGCATGTTTTTCAGTAACGTTAAATGTTGTGATCAAACGACAAGTAATTCAGGACCTGATCCTTTTAACAACTATTCAACTGTATGTATATAAGCAGTTCCTTTGTGTTTAACAGGACAAGGAGCGAGTGCTTGTAGATGTAGAATAAATTTACAAGAATAAACTAACTCTCTTCCCACCCTCTTTCTACACCATGAGTTTTAATGGTACTTGGAAAAAGATGACACAGCCTATCTCACAGGCTTATTCTAAGAAAAACTTCCTGACTAAGCCAGTTAAGTGGACAGGTGAAGAGATGGAGAAATTAAAGTAGATGGCAGAATGACGCTGGCCTCCAGGAATCTTGACTGTCAGCTAATTACTGCATCCTGCACTCCTTCTTCATCAAGTCGACATTTATAAATTCTGATAGGAGACAATACAAATTGGAATGCTCTGGGGAATACTAGTTCAGGTAAGTATTATAAGTTAAAATGCTTACTGGAACCCTAGTTTGGTGTTTTAAAGCCACAAAATGTCAGGAAATGGCAATGAAGTAATTCCCAGCACTCAGACTGGAGGGGATGTCAGTTACTCAATGAAACTCTTCAGGAGTGAGCACATGGAATTGTTTGAGCTTCCTAGCTGGCTAATGAACTTCATTTCCTTAAGTCCAGGCCTGACATTTTCAAACTGTTCTTAAATTTTATGATAATTCACAAATTCATTAAACTCCTTTAGAGCTACATAAACATGTCAATTATATACATACAGCCAACATAGTTTCCCCAGAAGGGACATTGCCTCCTTGGTGCACTTCTGACTGAAAGGCCAGGTCAGAGGCCTTCATTTACCTACCTGTTATTTCAAAAGTGATGGATAGCAGAGGTGCAGCACTAGCCTTCGACTTGCTCTGTGACTGACTTTCTGAAATAACAGGGAAACGCCACCATGAGTATGCAAGAATGGATGTCTTCAAAGATCCCTGACTGAGACAGTATTAACTATTAGCAATAGCAAACTGCTCTGAAATAAAGGCGTTTCCCCAAAACTAACACTGATAGTTAGTTTTGCCCCATCCTTAAACTACCCCTAGTTTTCAAGTAGTATACACTGATTTGCTTGTTTTGCAGAGCACTGGAGTTCTGGCCTTCTTGAATCCATGGTGTGAGGGGAGCAGAAAGGAAGAATGGAGAAACAGCACCCATTTAAACCTGCTCCCACACATGGAAGCATCCCAGAGCTGCTTTGTAAGTAAAGATTTGCTTCACCCTGAGTTTGAGCTCTTGCAAAACTGTTCTCATGTTTATGCATCCACAGACTAGCTACATTTTAATCAGCTTTCTGGGACCTGCAGAGATTACCTCTGGATGGGCTCTGCGCCTTCCTGTCACACTCTGATAAGGGCCGATTTCACACCCGCCTAAGCCAGCGAGACTTCACAGCCTACCCAAATCCTAATCACCATACTGAACAGTAAGCTGCCACGGATTTCATTGTTACTTCTGTTTAGCTGAGAGTTCTTACTTCTTTAGTCTTTGGCAGGAGCGGCAAAACTTTGTTCCACAGAGGCGATTTACTAAAAGCCCCAGGGCATTTTGATTTGCATTAGATGAAGCAGCTTGAAAACACCTTCTTTAATAAATATAGATGTGAAACCCATTGTGCATACAAGTCACACTCTGCTAGTCCAAGTACTCAAGCTGAAAGAGATTTAGGCACTAGCACTCCCCACAAACTGTGCCTTTAAGAGCAGAAACCTTGCTACCCTGCCGCTAACTCAGCTCCAGGTGCTGCATTACACATGGCTCTTACAAGGATATCCCTTTTCCTGGAGTATGTGGCTGTATTTATTTATCTATTTTAATGCTCTTGTATGTTTTTACAAAACAGCTACAAAAGAGGATAGATAAAATTTAATTAAAAGCTAAATGCAATTAGCTTAAGTCACTGACATACCTAAATTTATAGTGTTGCATTATCATTCAAAAATAACATAAAAAACTTGAGTTTTTTTTCCCCTCAGTAAATACACTGCTAAGCTAACTACAGAATATATCTCCTAAGCTACTCTCTGTTTTCCTATTAAGCCCTACAGGCTGTGACAGTGACAAAGAGTAATCTCTAGTTCAGTTTGGGGAAAAAAACAAACAAACAAAATTATTTTGGCCTTAAGTCTTCAAAGTGTCTTAAAAACCTGACCAAATCAAGAAAAGAAAAGTGAAGTCCCTGAAAATGAAACGTAGTCACATTTTCACACATTTCTACACTGAGTTTGCATTCCAGAATTGGCATATTATGTCTGCATCTCAGTCCTCACAAGTTCATCATGTAGCTCAAGAACACACAAGAGAACTGCTGTAGGCGAAGGAACAAATTTAATATTTCTGATCTTCATTCTCACTTGTTTTCTAAGTGAGAGATATCCTCATAAGACGATGTTTTTCAGTACATGTTAAGGAACAGTAATTCACAGCTAGGAACCAATATTTGCTACATAAAGAAATCTCTTATCCTGCAATTAAATATTTTCATCCAAACTAGTTTTGTTGTGTTGTTTTTTTTTTTAATTTAAGCTTGGATTTCTGAAACCTGTGATGTAACAAGGTAATCGTGGTAGAAGACAGTGGCTGTCCAGGAGTAAAGGAATGCTGAAGTATTCTGATTTCATACTAATTGAATTGCAAGTAAATTAAATTTACCTTCTTTTTCCTTGAGGGTATTTAAATAGGAGAGGAGATTTTCATTAGCTTGCACACAGTACATTTCCCGGGTTTGAATGCCACCTCCACACAGTGCTGTTTGATTTCCTCGCCTTTTATCCTGTTGATTGAGCAGAGGATCAACGCGGCATTCCGTCCACTCTGTGGTCCGCCAGCCATACCTGGATGAAATTGAATGAATTAGGTTTTCAAAAATCATGATGCTCTTTTACACATCACTATTACACAGGCCAAAACACCTTTATATCTTTGTCTGTTTCCTAAAAGGCCTGAGACTCAGTTTCTCATACAAAGAGGTGCATTAAGTTTGATATTTTACATGGGTGGAAGCATTTCCTCTGTTATTTGATTTCTGAAATCATTACTGCTTTGAGAGATCTGTCCTGTCCAATTTCTGAAACATACTGCACATACAAATATTTTCTTGGAGGGAAGAAAAACTTCATATGCAGAAAAATATGAGAGTATGTTCAGCTAAGCTAACTGTACTGACAATGACTCTTGGTAATCATTTAGAACTAGACAGTCTATACAAAACAAACCAAAATATCAAATAAATGTGCATGCTGAGAAACATAAGAACCAGAAAACAAGAGGTAGAAATAAAAACACAACCCACAAAAAAACAAAAGCAGAAGCCTCGAGTCTATCTTTGATAAGAGACACAGAAGTTTCTCTTGAATATCAAGGTAAAAGAATAACAATATGTTTTTATTATCTCAGGTACCATTTCAGTAAGTTCCTTTCTCACTGTCAAGAAGACAGTTTCTCTGAAGTGCTGAAGCATCCTTGCTGGGTATTGATGAATGATGAGAAGCTGTGAGCTTTCTAATCAGTGAATGCACAGGAAAGAAGTTCTGTGACTTGGAGCTAAAATCCCAGTCAGGATTACGAACCACAAGAAATGCCACAGAATTCTCTATCCAACAATCACTTTAAGGCTAAATCAAGCAAACTGCTTCCTAGTGTGGCTTGGAAAAGTGTAAATATGACATTTCGACTCTTAAATGAAAAATATGCACCACAGTCAAAGATGGAGATGCAAAATGGCTTAATATCAAACGACATTTCTCCAGCCCCTCCTGCTAGTCTTGTAAAGGAAGAGCACAGTTGGAACATTAATAGTAGTCTTGATAAGTATTACAGCAATCTCTTGAATGTAAGGTGCTTGCTGTCATTTCTCCTAAACACTGAACAAGGTTATTTATTTACTGTTAATGTTAGGCTCTCCCACTTTCCACTTGGGGCCCAGCTTTTCTTTTATTGGGCTCTAAAGAGTCTCATTAAAAAGTCTGGCAGCTAAAGAGATATTTCTCAGCTTTTTCTTATGTTCAGCACTTCTTCCAACAGAATACTTCAGAAAATACTGGCAAAACTGCTATGTAGGAAAATTACTGACAAATTAATACAATTGCTTTATTATGATCTTAACTCTGCCCGTGTGAACACAAACATATTGTCTTTTAAAAGTGAACACTAATGGAAAAAATAAGTATTTGGGGTTTTTGTTCCTGTATTTAGAGAAAGGAGTGATTTCACTATAATAGCTGCTACTTACAGACTTCAGGCTTTTAAGGAAAGAACTGAATTTGCAAAGGATATAAAATCAAACCTATTATTTCAGTATTACTTTAGTAATGATTTGGTTGATGTTACTGGCCATGTATGCTTAATTGAAATTTTTCATTTTATTACAGGGAGAACTGAACTGAAATGAACCAACTTACGTAATGCATGGTGCTACACCATCTCCTTGGGTAATGCACTGCTCTGTTTCTTCTAATTGCGGGCATTCACTTTCACTGCCAATAGGGAGCTGCTTAATGGTCCGTGATCTTGTACGATTCCCTTTAGGGGTTGTCATGTCAAAGCAGGTTTTAGAGCAGGGGGTCCATTCTGACCATTCTGACACCTGGCACTCCTTAGTGATCACACAGGACTGGAATGTAATTGGCAACTTGTCTTGCTTGCAAAAGCTGGAATAAAAGAACATTACAATATTCAGCATATATATGTGAAGAAAGATGTGAACTCCTACAGAAAAATGCTGTCTGTTACAACAAACAAAGTCAGTTAATATTTATAAAGCTGTTAGATTTCAATCCAAAGATATATGACCTCAAAAAGTCAAGTAAAAGTGTTTTTTGTTAAACCAATTCAATGTAGACATATTTATATCATTCTGGTGATACAATAATGATTAGCATTGTCATATTTTATATTTTTATTAAAATACAGATCTTCTACATATGTATGAAATGCAAAAGAGAAAATAAACTTTTCTTCACAACTTATTTTCTGTTTTTTTGTATATACAATTATTTTTCTTGGAACAATAAAACTATGAAAGACCAATAACAGAATCAAGTCATGTATATTGAATACCTGAACACTGTTTGCTTTGTTATCAGCTGGTGTATTGCCACAGTAATACCGCATGGTCAAAACCTCTCCCTTGAAATAGGGCCTTTTCTGTTAAAGTAAAACCATATCCTTAATTTCCTGTTCACGTAAGTCTGTCATTTCATTTCCATTCTCCAGTTGCTTTAATCACATATTACATAGGTTGTCAGCAAAATTTTCTCCTTCTAAAAGCCTCTGCATTTTCAAATGTCACATTCTAACTAACACATTTCTAACTTTCTCTCTTTACTCACTATAGGAAAATGAGCAATACTGAAGCTAAAACACAATTAAACCAATCATAACTTTAACTTCTTCATTATAATTGCAATGTAGGTATATATATTATGTCTGTTTTGTAATAAAATTCTGGCTTCTAAAGTAGCTAGACAGGAAGAAGTTTTATCTGCAGATGGCACAATGAAATGATCACTCCAATAATCAACAGAACAAGTGGCACTTTCACTGTTTTAATTAAAACAAACACACACACACCATCACACAGAATAATTAATGCTAGCAACAACTCTGTTGCTATGCAAAAATTTGCTATACACATAGCCAGGATCATGGTGCACTGATATTAACAAAATTTCATAATACAAGATGTAGAGACATTTGATGAGACTAATAATCATTTCTAAAATTACCGCTTGGGACAAAGAGCATGGCACTGAGTGTGGATATAACATCCTCTATCATGTACCAACCAGCCTCTGGGAAAACTGAACAATACAATGGACTGCTAAAGACCACACTGAGAGCAGTCAGAGCTGGGACACCTACCTCTTATGCTCTGTAGGAGGAAATTAAGTACCTGTTGTGAACATGAAAAAATATGCTGGGAAAACAGTCTGGGTTATTCCTGCTTCAGGCAAAAATCAAGCCTATTTGTAGGATCATTTTTGTTCAAGGACCTGGGTGCTTGTGGTGGGTAACACGGAAGGATGGTAAAGTTAGGTATGTAACTAATGGGGATTTGATTTTGGGTGACAACAGCCAATAATTTGAATTGTATGAAGTGAGCAGTTGTATAATACTGCATATCGTCACTACTATGATTCTTATGTGCCTTAATAATGGTATTAGAGTAAGAATCACCCAGATTAAAGAAGAATGAATTCTAACAGAACTAGAATTAGACTCAGTGTGCAACAATCCAAAATCAGGACAGGAAATCAAAACTGGCCAAAGGGATATTCCATACCACGTGGTATCATGCAAAAAAACCCTACAAAAATGGAGGGGAGTAGGCCAAGGGGACAGCCACTGCTTGGACACTGGTCAGACATTCATTGATGAGTGGTGAGCAATTGCTTGTGCATCGCTTGTTTTGTATGCATAATATACATATATGCTATTCCAAAAGTAATGCCTCCTATTTATTTCCATGGAGAAAAGAGCACAATTATAGTATTACATAGAGCAAATTCTCAACTACAAAACACTATTTTTGACACAATTACCACTGTTAACTATGCATTTTTGCCAGCAATGAACAAAAGCCTGCATGCCATACTCATAAAAGTCTGCACCAGTGGAGATGACCGTCTGTCGCTGTCACCACTGCTGAAACACATCACCCACCACCTCACTGTTTGGTCTCCATAAACACTCAGCAAGTGTTGAACTATGTCAGTGGGGGCCATTTTTTTCTTGTGGAGTAATTCAGTGACATACCATTGCTTCACATGCAAAATCTGTCAGATTTCCCTTCTGCTGATTCCTGTTACATGGCAACAAAATATGGAATACTGGCGGGAAGGTTCAACCCCTACTGCCATAACACCAACATCTACCTCCAATATTGTGGGCTAACATAATAAAATAGGAGGCATTACTTTTAGTGCAGATCTGTGTATGTTGTATTATCTTTTTTTTTTTTTTTCCTCCTGTTTCCAAAAGAATAACAATAACAAACAAAAAGCATGCATGCCAAACACAGTGTCCTAAGCATCTTTCGGCAGAGTCCAGGGTACTATACCATGTGAAGTAAGGTTGTGCTAGGTAGATGACAGTGTCGAAAGAAAAGGCAAACCAAGTAAATGTCACAGGGATTGAGTAAGTCTAAAGGCTATTATAAATGCTGAAACTATTCCCGACCTCAAAGACTTGTATTAGATAAATTAAGTAAAGAAAACATGATGTTGGCAAAAGATAGGCCATAATTGCTGCTGAACCTCTTTTAGAGATGTGTGGTTAGGAATTTGTGTTTAGTCACGTTCTGTAGCCTCTCTTTTACTCTTTGCAGCAATAAATAAAAACTAAACATCATTTCAGATAAGAAGATTCCCCATGGGGATTTCAAAGTAATTTAAGGGATAATTGAGGCTACAGAGAGAGAGAATGAAGCTAGAGGCATAGGCCTGGAGCAAATACACCATAGTGCCTGTGTACTAATGAGCAAGCTGGTAGCTGAAAGTAGCCTTTTCACTGAGATTTTACATGAGTGATAAAACTGCACGACTCAAGCAGTAAATTGATTCTTTCTAAAGTACCCCAAATTTCTGTTAGAGAGCAAATCATACTTTTATAAATTTAAAAAAAAATTAGAACAGTTTGGCTTTATATGCCAATGATCTGCTCAGGTGTCTGTACTCTTAGTCCCAACGTTTAAGTCATATAGAAAATGGAATAAATGATTGTAATTATCTTGTCTATAAATCCAACTAGAATTTTATTATTATTTTCATAGAATCATAGAATAATACTTTGTTTTATTATTATTATCAATAGATGAAGCTAAATGCCTTATCATGGGACTCCTTACCGATCTCTACACTGATACAGAACAAGAAGTTTTCTGTAAGTTACCTAACCGATTTTATTCCATGAGCTTATAACTTTCTTATACACGTGAGAGATTTTCCACTTTTGTGGGTTTTTTCTGCATGCATTGATGGACTGATAACTGAAGAGTTAACAAGAAAAGACAAATAAGATGGGTCTATGATTCCTACCTGTCTTTGTGGTACCCAATAGAGGGCACAAATGGAAAGAGGCCAAGTGTTTGTTCACGCTTTTCCAGCATACTCCTATTTTCCAGCAAACTAGCATAAAGTCTTTCCAAGCACAAGTTACATCTTTTCACTGAATAATCTTTTTCTTCTGCGAATGAGTGCAGTTACTATCTGAACCTGGATAAGGTCCCGGCATCTATTTCATCTTGAAAGCCATGAGTTACACATCACTTTTACTCACCAATAACCACAGATAGGCTGTAATTAACACTGTTAATTTCATTTCCTGGCATTAGGCCTTGCATAACCATAGTCTATGCATTCTTCCTCTAGCACTGATTTGCTTGGTCCTCGCATGTCTCTTTCTTATTTCCAAAAGTTTTCTTCCACTTAGTGTCACCTTGTTTTAACACAGTTATGCCCTAAAATCACATGTTCTTTCGTTCTAAGTGGACAACTCTGATACGTAAAACTGGCCTGGATTCGAGGGCTCTCCATGACTCATTCTGAGGATGCCCCAAAGTATCTGTAAATTAGAAGAAATGTGAAAAATTCAAAAGTTAGTGGAAACACGAGTCCACACATCCAGTGTTTTAAGGGGACATCATTCTGAAGATCAGTTTGGTGTTTTTCCCAGCACAACTGTTCTTCATATTCAAATGCTACAGAGCTTCAATGCAGCATTCATAATTTAAATCTAAAGTTGTACAGCAGAGAGAACATTGTTACAACAATAAATTTGATTAACTTACCCACTACTGAAATTTAACAAGAACTGCTATTTACTGTTTTTACCTAAAATATTAATACAGTCCAATTGACAAGGTCAGTATAAGCCAAATAATCTCTTCAACATTTTTTCCTTTGTCTGCACTACTCTACTATGTGTTCATCATTCCTTCACCTTTATAAACATTCAGTGTTGGGTTTCTTTAATGACATTTTCAGAGCTATTACTCCTTACTTTCCACCACCGTATACGTTTTCCTGTAATACTTATATTTTTTTTTCTCTATTTGATTTCCCACTTAATTACATACAGAGACTTCTATACTTCTGAAATGAATAACATAGCTGTGTTTCAGCAGGGAAATTGATGCCAACATAAACTTTTCTCATTCACAAGAAACAGAAGCCAGGGGTTAGAGCTGTAATGAAAAAGGACGAAAGTAGAATTTTGCATTTAAATTAAAAACTCTGATCTTTCAACCATGAATCAGTATTTGATGTGGTAGTAGACTTAATCCACAGACTCTTTGCCCTTCTGACTCTAGAGTTCTCTGTAGGAGCACTCATATGTTTACTCAGGCTGCTCCAGTCCTGGCATGGCTGACCTACCCTCATTCCTCACGTGGAAAACAGACACATCTACATCTAGACATTGTCAGAATAGCTCAGCACACCACTGAAGTCATCCAAAATAGGCATCTATGTTATCAGAAACCACACCAAAGCAACACAGGGATTAGATATCATACCCCCTTAAATATGTCTAAGGAATTGATGTGGATCCAGCTCTTCCCTCTGTTTGCTGAGCAGTTCTACCCCAGAATGCAAAGGAACTCGTTTTGAAGGTTACTCCACGTTTATCAAAAAATACAAACTCTCCTTGT